AACGCTGTATCTCTTCAACAACTCAGATATATTTAAAACTGTTTGACTACCGCAATGACATTTTAGTCGAAGGTAAATTATCACACAATATTTCTGTGCAGCGTTTTTTGGGAAAACAAAGATTACATGAGACGATGATATACATTCACAAAATAAATCAGATACTTACGCAAATAAACTAACGAAAATGCAAAAGTGGCTAATTCTATGCTGATCCACAAAACCTTAAAATCTGATCATGGTTTTGACAAGTTTTTTTTTACAATAGCTAAAGAAATCCCGGAATTATAACTTCTTGTTGAGAATTTTTCATTTCTATAGATGCTCCTGCTGATTCTATCAACAAATGATATTTTAATGTTCCACAACGGAAGCAATGCTATTTTGTCGTTTAATTCTGATTTATTGTCTGTATGTAACAAATGGACATCGAAGTTATAAGTCACATGAGGAAAACAAAACTGATAAATTATTAAATGATAAATTGTTGCTTTTATATGAAAAGTCCCATGGTCATTTATTTGGGTCATATTAAGAACTGCGAAGAAGTGAAACGATTCTATGATAGGGAAATGAATTTTTAATGATTTTCTTCAAAGATGAACATAACTTCTTATTTATGCCTCACTTTTACTACACAGGTAGTCTTTTAATTTTCAGAACTCCGATAACCGTTACATGTGGGAACATTTTTTTTGAGGAGGAATAAATTGAACCTTTCTGTCCATTAAAGATTAATATTCCTCCTTTCATTTCATCCCTTTAAAATTGCTAATTTTTTGAATGATTGAGGTTAGAAAATATACTTAACTACAAATTATTAGTTTATTATGAATTAGAAAACAACTGTAAGGGGAACCGAACAAAAAGATTTCGAACAGACAGCTTTTTTCCTTACTCTTTTCCGATCTTGTTGGTTAGATCTTACCGAATTTCTTCCGCTGCGCTAACAAGCGTGTGCATCCTGCTCGCTGTCTAAAATTGAATTCTTTTTTTTTTTCAATTAAAAGAAATTAATGCATACCTGAGGTCTTTGAAAAATTTATTGGTAAAAGACAGATGGCTATTTTTATTTTTCAGAGAGATTTCAAAAAGGTGAACAGCTGAAAATTGAAAAAAATGCTTATCGCGATTTATTGTTTATCAGATTATAGACAATGTGACGGTTTTTATAAAGAAAAAGATTGATCTAACAGTAAAATAAGTTTTGATTTTTTCAGTAAGAAAATTTGGATGTAAACTATACCTATAAAGTGGTGACACTTTAAATGGTTGCCCATGACCGGGAATGATCCAATCCGCTAAACATGTGATCAAATTTGAATTTTGCCTTCTGATCAGTGAATCCCAAACACTTTCATCGATATCTACGCTTGAATCTGTCTGAAGTAATTTTGGTATTGTGTGTGTATGTGATTGTACAGTTACACACATGTGCTTTTTTTTCAAAGTTTTCTTTTTTTTTTTCAAAGTTACGATCAGGGTAAGGAATTGTCTTAAATTTTGAGGCAATCTATTACTCTATGTTAATGATTATATATCCAATGTCATCTGCTTGTTATTTAGTTTCAAAGTGTAAAATGTTCTGATGATTATAACAGCAATGAACAAGAGTAATCGAAAGCTTTGAAAAGAGTTAGATTAATATAGGTCTAATTTCTGGAATTAACTTTCTTTACTTTTTTGCACTTTTCATAATAAATAAGTAATAGGTAAATCCGAAATAAAATATTTCCTTAAATTTTGTAAATAGTACTTTGATTTCAAAAAATTTTCAAGCATATCAATCATAAAATTTCAATTAATATCCATCAGTCATTTTAAATGCATAATAAATTATAAAAAACTCAAACAACAAATTAATTTTTAAAATTCGATAACATTACTTTCCAGTTTGAACAAAGAGCTAACCCTATTGAAAATGTAATCTTCCGTTGGTATCAAATCGCCAACGATAGCCATCGTTCCGTATCCTTCCACATTATAAACCAACACACTAAGACTTTGCTGTGTGAAGCCAGGAGTTTTCCAAACTTCTACATTTTCTGTTAGTTTACGGTAAGGTCTCTAAAAATGAAAATAAAGTTTGATTTAAATATCAAAATATTAAGGAAAAAACATGCAATCATCTTCATATTTGCTCAAATACAAAACACTTTTAAATGCATTGAATTTACCTTTCGTGTGAAAGAACGAACAAAAAACATTTAAAAATTTAAACATTTTTTCAAACAATTTTCGACTGACTATACAATGCGTCATATATTTTAAAATTTATTTGATGGATTTTCAATTTTGGGATAGCTTATAATTTGATTTGCTTCATATTATATTATATTTTCATGCATGATTATTTGGAATTTTCTACACAAAACTTTTTTCAATGAAATTTTTTCTTTTTACTTTGAAATTTTATTTTGAATTTAAGCTGTCTGGATGAATGGTAAGAAGAAAAGGAGCAAACATCTTTAAGTTCGCTGACAGTAGCATGTTGTTCCACAAATTCCATCGTATGAAAAAGTATTGATTTCAGGGGGAAAAGGTTAAGATTGCCTGTATGACTCGGATGTCCACTCGTTATTACAATTACCGCAATTTCATTCATGGAAATCATTTCTTTCGAAAGACCTAAAATTATTTTCAAGTAATTTTGAGTTTTTGTTAGCAAATTAATGCATCGTTAAAACATCTGAAATAAGACTAAAATGGAGAGAGTAATTAGTGCTAACGTAAACCTTAACGTGTATAATGCCTACAAACAAAAACAGTTAACTTCATCAGCTTTTTTTTTCTTCAAACCGTGGAACTTTTTAATGTCTTTGAATTTATTGAAAAGTTTTATTACAAAATCACACAAAGATTGACTTTCCTAATAACATTAAATAAAGGGAAGCGACATTGTGATTTAAATGGATAAATTGATTACAACACATTTATTCTTGAATGAACTTAGAAGGAATAAAGTAGAATAAAGCTACTTCTATTAGTTCTCTTTTATTATTTCTTTTCAAGTTCATTCCTAATGCAAACATCATCTTGCAAGTGAAAGATCATTCAATCAAAATATGCTTTTAGTAAAAGTTAAGACCGGAAATTTATTGTTCTTATATGGAAAATTTTCCTAAAGAATTCATTTACAAATTTTCATTTAAATTTCTCATTAATTCACAATTTTGTTTCACTTGCTTACTAATTGAAAGTCACCATTTTTCAAAATGTGTTATTCGAAAGTTATAATTTTGTTATTGTTTCATTCTTTTGCCACTTGAAAAGTAATTGTTATTCATGACACATTTCATTGAGAAACGTAAAGATGTAAAATAAGCTTAAATAAGTTGAGATGATCAGACAGTCCCTTTGACAGTGGTCATCAAATGCCAAGAAATTATTGTTCATTTGATTGCACATAATATTCAATATCATTGTTATCTGTACAGATAATCGATAGACGAATTTACCACGTAAGTTGACTGGAATGCGTATAAGAATGTGAAAACGTGGAGAATGTGAAGTGAGGGTAAATTGTTGAATGAGTGATATTATAACTGAATTGTTGAATAAAGAGGAATTGAAAATATGTTCCATTAATTTTGGTCAGAAACTGAAGGTTTTAGAAATCCTACACAGCTTCTTCAATTCAAATTAAATTTCAGTAATACAGTAGATTCTTAACATGGAGAATATAAACACAAATTAAAAAATTACAGACCTATTTATATAAGTTTATGGGTCTTTATGAAGACTTTCAGTTAGCAAAATTTTAAGATTATGTTGTTTTAATTGAAGACAACTGAAAATTAAACGAAAACTAAAGATATTGAATTAATCCATAAATGCGGAGAAAAAATAAAGTTAAGGGATTTCAAATTTAAAGCGGATGAAAAAAGGTGTGACATAATTTGTACGGACTTTAACTTAATATGTGTTTATTGCATAATAATTACAATACAGTTTGGTAGGTTAGATGTCATTTTATCTATCACTTACAATGTAATCGACAGATTAGCAGATTCACAAATAATCTTCAGGAATTTTTTTCTTCTCCCTCACATTTTCAATAACTGGAATTCCACTTTAATTCTTCTCTAACAATTTCGATAAATAAGAACTTTTGATAAATTACTTCTACATTTTTTTTCTGAGACGCCCATCGAATGAAATGCAATTATTATGTCATTGAATTTTCTGCTACTTAAAATTGTTTGAGCTTTCTTTTTTGCTTTTTCCTCAATTTCAAATTTTACGAATTTGAACACAAAAATGTATAAAAAACAATTTTTAATCTTTGGTCATAAGCTTTTCGAAAGTATTGTCTATCTTAAAGAGTTCATAAGTTAAAATTTATCTGCTAAGTGGATCGGTAGATCATTTAATTGAGTAAAGCGGAAATGCTTATGTTTAAAAATTGTTTTAGATTTCAGCAAGAGGGCACAAAACAATCTGAAGCCCAAAAAAATTCAAAAAACATATAATTACCTTGTAGGAGCGATTCAGTATCCGCGGCAGATCCAGTGTCCACCAGTATTCGGTAACCCTGATCGTTAATAAGTGTAATTGTCCCAACAAGGAGTATTTGCTTGTCCGTCAATCTCTTAACGTTACCAACTTGAATTAAAGATACGGATGTCAGGTGATCGACGGGTATTGCGGGAATTGAGGATGGTGATATTGTTGTTTGAGGTGATTTCTTTGAAATTACGCCAAATTCAGGTGTGCTGTAATGTGGAATTTTTATTCCGTTGTAAGACTGATAATTAACACTTTTTTTCAAATCATTAAACGCTTACTTTAATAATAAAAATACAGTCAGAAATTATGTTTGACCGTATTTCGGAAGTTCTGAAAGTATTATAAATGTACTTATTAAAACTTTTGTAATCCATTATATGGTTAAAGTATCATAAACGTTCATTCCATAAATTGCTCCTGCAGTTGAATTTCTCTTTTAAAGCTTTTTAAATTCATTTTAAATTCTATACCTTTTAAGCAATCTTTAAATTTTGTTGATTAATATTGAATAGTAATGAACGATATGATTTATGTATTGAGTTTTTGAAACGAATTCCATAAATTTGCTTCTGACAATGTGGGTTTTAAAAGAGCGATTGGTATGCAGAAATTATTGGGAGCTGCCAATGCATAATTTGATGAAAAATTAAAATTGTCACATTGGCTAATGTTTATCAATAAAAATGAAATAAAAAGAAATTTTAATAAATTATTCTAAAACCATTACACAAACATTCCAATTTATTAATGGAAATCAGTTTTAATTTGATTTGGCAACTTTTTTTTTGAAATCTAAGAGATAGGATCCATCTCATACTCCCAAACTCTATTCTTCACAAACCAACCATCAAAAAGCGATGTCACTCAGTGTCGACATTTTGTTTGATCTTTTTTTCTTGAGAAATCTTCATCGACTTTGTTCTGTTCGATGCACAAATATGTCAACTTATGTGTACGGATAAAGACAAGATAAAAACATATTTCCAAAAACTGATCTCGTTAACTTTTTTGAAATTTGAAGTAAATTCATTACCAGAATATATTGCCTTGTTTTGAACTATTTTCTTTTTTGGCTTATCATAACTGATAATTTATTTTAGTTAGTCTGCTAGTTTTTATCTTTCTGGTTTAATTAGTCTAGTCATTTCGTATAAATATATATTGCAGTATTAGAAATATTTCAAAATGATCGATATTATAAATCATATGATAATAGTAATAGTGGAACATAGCATTACGAGAATTTTTATGTCAGATCTTTCGCAGTTGTCATCAATTAGTCGTTTTCAAGTCTTTGGACATAGCATGTTTACACACTGACAAAACGATTCAAGACTAAACTGACTAATTACAATTATCTAAAAAAATAAAGTGAGGAAGAGATTTTTTTATTATTAAAAGTCTTTTTTATTAAGTGATTTGTGAAGGAGAATTTTTTGTTAATGACAAGTCGAACTTATCAATTATTAATAACAAAAGCCTTTAAAATTTCAAACATTTATCTCTATCTTTAAATAATGTAATGAACTTACACGATTTTGCTAGCAGTGCTAATATATTCTTCAGCGGACACCTCTTTGCTATCTACCTTTACAGCAGATTCTGTTGTCGATAATTCATGTCTTTTATACATCTGTGTTGTAGGCACAGTTATCGCCCTTGAAGTGACAAAGGTATGAGCATTTCCATTCCATGGAGTTCTGTACAGTGGTTTTCTACAGGAATGATTTAAACTAAGGTAATAAAAGAATTTTTAATCATATCATCTGAGAAAATTCTTAGAACTATTTTTGTTAATAAGATCTTAAAAATGATAATATCATTTGACACTTTTGAAGAAGGAAAATTGATAATTAACAGTTCAACCTAATCCATCGATGTTTATATGTTGCTTTACTGTAAATAAAATATTTGAAGGATCCTGCATGTAAAGCATTGAACATTAGCATATATTTAAATAGTAGGATAAATTATTGATTTCAATGGATGTACCTGCCTCTAATATACCAGGGTGATCGACGATTGGGAACTGTAGACAACCAGATATGCTCATGAGTTTTGATCTTTTCTTGTCTCGATGAAGGTGTTGTGAAAAAAGGATTGGTGGTTGAATCTTAAATATAAAATTTGACAAGAGGAATAGAATTCACACTGTTAATGTAAATCAATTAATTTTGATTTACTAAAAAATAAGCACATAAACAATACCAAGATAATAAATCATCAAATTCAAAATTTTTTAAGCAAAAATTATAAATTGTTATTGCAATACTAACTTATCGGTGATTTCACCCTTATATTAATAATTGGTTGATTACGCATGTCCTGACAGCATATTGATCGACCAAGTACTAAGCTAAAATCGCAGACGAAGCCAGTTGGACATTCTCCAATTGTTGTTGGCTGACAGTAATTGTATTCACCAGATAAAATTAATGGATCAGCATCGAAAGGACAAACTAAAAACAAACAATAATGCTAATTTTTGAAAATTTATAATCGATATTTTAGTTTTTGAAAATTTACAATCGATATTTTGAACTGACGTAGCATGTAGCAAGCATTAATTTCTGTAAAATATTTCTTCAAGTTTAAAACTATTGTTTAACTCTCAAAGCTATTGTACTTTTGTTATATGAATTATTTTGCAGTTTGAAATAGTTCAATGGTTTGTGTTATTTTGATGATTAATTTAAATTTACTTAATTTGATTTCATATAGCTCTATATTAGTACACTCGTTTCATCAATAATGTTTAGTTTGGTGATTTTCATTTCATAATTAAACGTGCATTAATCGTTTTTTTTTTCTACCACAACATTTACCTATAATTTTGAACAAAATGAAACTTGTTTAAATTTCATTTATTTCTGCCTTTAGTTATTTCATTATTTTATTAATTCGTTATCAATGGAATAATATATTAGTAATATTTATTTATCAGATATTAGAAGGGTTGGCATATTTTGGCTATAACTGAATGAGATTTGAAAATTTCAGAGATATAATTTGATGGTGAAGATTGGTTGTTCAACATTCCATTTCTATTCTCAAGTGATCATACAACGTAAACTGAAGCACCCCTCCACTTTACAATCAACAATAGGTTTGTTATACAACTAAATAAAAAGATATACGGGTAGCAAGAATTGATGACTTTGTAAAATGATTAGTAATCGAAATAACTTAGTATTGAAACAAAGTAAAGTCAGAACTACATTTACATATAAAGCTTTCTTATCCAATATGTCGTAATATAACTATTAGGACAAATTTAATAGCTGAATAATCAAGTTATACATTTAATTAGAAGCTGCAAGATAGATGGAAAGAATTAAATTATCAATAAAACATATTGCTCTTCATTGCAGTAATTGAATACAAAATATGTTTACTTAAATGATTAGATTTCAATCAAAATTTTGTCAATCAAATCAAAGATTTAATTGTACCTTGTCTGTCAGCAACTTTGACTCCACTACGTGAAGTGGTAGGTAAATCGGTTGTTCTGGCAAATTGTGCTTCCAAAACTTTCGGTTCCGAACCAAAACCGAAAACTTTGAGTACGGTTGTGGCGATATCATTGTTTCCGGATATGGATGAGATTAAATCATCGGTTATGGGTTGTGGGAAAGAATGACGATTTGCTTCAAGCCACTGCCTCAAGCGTTCTGCTTTATCAGCTACTGAATATTGTCCATCGGCTAAAAATTAATGATCACAATTTTTTCGCTGAATAAAAACTTTTTAAAGAAATGATAAAAAAATGTATTTGAATCATAAATAAATTTTCACAATCTCCACCGAATTTCAGAAGTTTGAAAATAATCTTTTTGAACAGCATAACTTATGCAAATAAAACAAAACTATTATAAAAATTAAATCTATTGTCTTAATTTCATTATGAAGACGAAAAAATGAATTTTTTACTCTCTTTATGACAAGTTAATCATATCATGAAAGTTGTGCATTTTCAATATTTTAATATTTAAATGCATTTTTTAATGCAACAAAACTTCAAGTTACAATAAGCTTCGCTTTCACGAGAGTCTAATTTTAATAGGATGAATAAAAGTCTAAGCTCAGAAAATGAAATAATTAATAGGGGAAAAGTAATAACCTGATAATAACGGAAAGGTTATTAGTAGACAAAACAGATCTGCTGGATAATAAAGCATTTCGGATTGGGTATTGAAGTCTTATCCAAGTACAAATATGTGTATTGAATTCTAAACAACTCTACAAACGTGAGCAGCAAACACAAATTTATTAAGAAAATCAAGAGTTAGGTATTGCTGGATAACTGAATACCTTATTATTGCTGCCACGATTTCTTGCATACTATTACTCAGTATAAATATACCAATGGACATTGGGGAGATAGCGGAATAATTTGTTTACCTACTTCTTTTCCGTCTCACTAATATCTCAGTTAATGGTTAATGAACTCCTCCTCTTCCTCTTAAAGCTGTTTGCGTCACGAATTAAATTTTAACCACAGAAATGTTTGAGGAAATGAACTTCAATGAAATGGGAAAGAGAGAAAAATTAGACCTATAAAAGAATAGCTGTGGTCATTTTTAACGTGATTATAATTAAAAGAATTATTTTAACATATAATACATAAATAACTCTTATTTTTTCATTCGTTATCTCCATTAATATTAGTTTTTGTAATTTTTGAAAAATTTTAAGTGATTAATTCAAGTTTTTACAAAGCATATTATTTCAGCTTGTTTACTTTTATGACCCATACATACTTCCTTCTTGCTACCCACCGTTGGATTAATACGAATGGTAAACAGTGAAAAGTCCGACCGATTACTCAATACTATTATTTTGTTGACAGCTTTTTCCCAAACGGAATATTGTAAGAAAGGAAATAAATGTGAACCACTTGATTTACTATAAAGGAAATTAATAAAACTACTGGTATAAAAGTAATTTTGTTGACAAACATCGTACAGATAACAGCGACGTTTCAGAAATTACAAGAAAAATGAGCTTTGATAAGGTTAAATCATTGTGTTACCAATTATTAATCAACAGTCAATTTTGCTAAATCTAAAATTAAATTCAGAAATAAAAATAGGATCTTTCACACCCATTTTCAAAAAACATATTACTCTTCAAAAAAATTCAGGAATTTCAAATGTTTCATTTCTTTACAGCTTCTATTTCCCGAAAATTTTACACAAAGCATCTCTGAAAATCATTTTTTGTTCGTTTTGGCATATTAAACGGTATAGTCAATAAAGTAAAGAAAGCCAAAGAAAACTTCCTCTGAATTTGACTTAACGAATATTTAAACAAACGTAGCTTGAGCATGAATCTGATTTTCTGGATTTAAAAAATATCGATGAGAAATTTTAATGCAGCATATCTTTATTTTTTATATATTCTCCTCACTGATCTATCTAAATCGATGATAAGCAACTCTTCCGAACAATCAATTATGGCTCACCAAAATTATCGAAATTTCAAATCTCAGGTAGAATCTACACTGTAAAATAATGGAGAATACGACGATAGTATGAAAATTAAAATGATTTATCAAATCGAAGAATTGTTGGTGTGAAGTGATTCGCTCCAAACATTTCGCAGTGCCCTATTATGTATCAGTGCTCAGACTGCTTTCTTTGTCAGATCAAAACAACTATCTTTAAAACAAAAAATGAAACCAACTGAAATTAAATTGTTTCATGAATTAATTTATATACTATTTGCAAACTCCAAATAGTTCACAATTAAATTCAATCGTTTTCTGTAAGATTGAAAACTTTTCCAAACGAATTTTGTATTATTTCTTCCAATTCTGAAAAACTGCGCGTTATGAAGTACTTCATATGTTTTATAGACTTCTTTGAAAATCATAAATCAAATTTTGGTTGCTCCTTATCTCTTCTCATTATCCTTCCTCATTTTGAAACGTCCTATTGAGAGAAAGGATGCTCGGAAAAAATTTTCTCTCTCGAGACTTTTGAACCGAATAAAAATTTTCAACGTTTGCGTTACTCTTTTAAAAGCAAGATAAAAATAGCAAATAGCTAGAAAGTATATATAAAAGAAATACATGGATAGAATTAATAATTGCTCAGTTTGCAGTTTCCGGGATTTCTGGTTGCAGACAATCATTTATATCATCAAATCCACTTATCGATCAAAGTTCATGGATGCTAATTTTAGAATAAAATTTGCCTTGAAAATATTGAAATTTGGTCATAATATATTCATGAATTTTAGTGTTTTACACACTGAATAAGGCACTAAGAGTAGCTGAAGAAAATTATTTGCTTATGGACATCAATTTCTAAGACATCGATTCAACCTGTTGATGTGAATGCTATTAAATTTAAATCTGATATCTAAATAAATTTATAAAGTTATTCAAGGTAAGAGTTGACTTATTAATGCCATGCATAGGTATTTATTTAATTACTGGTTCTCAGTATTGTAATATTACTTTGACTAGGAAACATTTTTTTTCATCATGCTTTTATTTTTCATTTTTTTCAAAGCGTTGTTTTAAATTGGTAAGCAAACTAATCAGTTGAGTAAAAAAATACCAAAAAATGGAATATGAAATTTTGTTAGCGATTCAATTTCTAAATCTACTTCTTCCTTCTCAGGTTTGCATATTTTGCCGGATGAATGGTGATCATATCCATTTACTTGTTTGTTCTCGATAAAATTCGAGAGGGTGAATTTAAATGCTTCAATAGTAGGCCTATCCTTTTATCTGAAATAATTAATGGATTGTGGTGGAAGATTTAGGTATATTGAGTGAGTTGGAAACTCTCAGAGGAATTATCTCAAGTGTCCTATATTTTCTTTCTGCCTACTCTTCTCTTTCTTCTTCCCGTCCTTCTCCCTCTCTCTCTCTTTCTCTCTTTGCTTTGGATACAGCGACCAGAAGCTTCCCATAGTTTCCTCCGAAATGGGTGGAATCAGATCTTTAGTTTTAAAGAAGTAAGAAGCTCGGAAATAGAACACTATGAAATTCTTCAAATTGAAATATGATTTTAAATATGATCGAATTTAGTTTTTATACCGCACTAATAAAACTACACTTACCTGTTTATTAGTTCAATTTTAGCAATGAGATTTCTCGCACCCATAATTTTCATTTATTTCGGTACCGAAATTTTCATATTCTTGCACATAGATGCCTACTATAGTTTTCTTCTTGCTTTAATTTTTAAATTTGAACTCGTGATTAAAACAGTTTTATGATATAACTTAATACTTTCTAATTGTCAGCTTACTAAACAGCTCAATAAATCGTTTCATTGATTTAAAAAATAAACCGTCGAATTGTAAGTGTACCATTGCAATCATAGGATCGACATAAGGTAAACGAAAGTTTAATGAATTTATCCTAGCTTCGTTTGAATCTCTCAAGAATGCCCTTTGATTGTTCAAATCATTAATTTAAAAATGAGCATGAAAAAGTGACAATATCAGTAATGACAGTAATAATGGTAATAATAATAGTAGCATAGCGGTGAAATCAATGTTTGCGCTTATTATAAAATAATCATTCTTAACTGTGAAACGTTGCACTAAATTGCTAGGTTGATAATGATGATAAGAAAAATTGAGATCAGTGCAATTTCGATCAAAAGAATATTATCCACCAATATTTGTGGATCATATTCTTTTATATTGGAAATGATATGACAGAGTATAATGATGAAAAAAATTGCACAATTTTATATTTAATATTTTATCAACATTTTTCGTGAGATTCAGCTGTGAAGTGAGTTTAGACTTGTTTTATTTTTAATAAAATGTAAATCAATTCGATGTATTATTGAATTTGAATATATCATTAAAATTGCTAAATAAACAGAAAGTGTGTTTACATCTTTGTTTCCAAAATTTTTTTCTAAAATTGATCTCAACAATACAATAACACGTTGATAGCTCATCTTGAAATTATACATCACTTTTTCGAATCTTTTTTTTCTTTAGTATGGCAATAGAACTTGAAATTTCAGTGTTTCTTGCTAAATTAGTTTTTTTTTGGAAGAAAATGCATGTTATTAAGTTTGAAATTTTGTTTTAGATACAAACACATTTTTCAGTCGATCATTCATTCATTCATTCATTTTCATTTCTTCCCAGTTAGTCACTCTTTCATCAAAGGAAGGAAATGAAGGATGGATGAAATTGTTACGACAGATATGTGCTTGTGATGGTGTGAGTGAAGTATTGTAGCATCTAATGGCTTAATGATATGTTTTTGAGGGAAAGCTTCGTTCCTTTTAAGGCCCTTGAAAAGTTGACATCAGAACGAGAAGACAAAGAGAATCAAAATTTTGCTCATTTATGAAAGAGAAAGAAAGAAAAGGAAAAGAAGCGAATAGCCCACCTTCGGTTGAGAAAGAAGATTTCTGTCATTGCCCATTTAAATTAATTGAACTTGAAAAGCGCAAATCATCCAATTGCTTGCTGTTGTATATATATATATATGTTGTGTTTGTGTCTGTCCGTCTATCTATTTATTCATTCATTATGCTTTCCTCAATAATCAAATACAAATATATAAATAAATAAATATATTTATATATTCATATGTTCCCGAAAAAGGAGGAAATATCGAGAAATGATTTGGTATTTGAAATACTGATAGCGCATGGAAGAGATAGGGAAATTGAATGTGTGCTAAGGAATTCGGATAGATTTATTTGACAGCATTAATGATAGGCTAGCTTCATTTCTTTTAATTTCATACTAATTTTTAGATTTTAAATATTATTTCATTTTCAATTAATCGTTGAACATGCAATTAATAACAAAAGTTTGCTAGTAAAATTTTTTGCTATCTGAATTCATGAAATTTACATTTCTTTTTCCAATAAATATCTAGCCAACTAATATTCATTTTCAACAAGTTATGATATGGGTATTACTTCAATGAATCACGCTTAATTTATTCGTTAAAGAATGCAACTTGTCCAAATTATCTTTGTTTAAAACCAAATTTCTTCTAATCGTTAACAGTAGTGAAAAAATGCACTCGACTGGGTTGACATTTTCGACATATGCAAAATATTTGCTATAGTTTTCTGAATTTTATATGGCAAGTTTCGAGAAAGTAATTGCGAGAAACTTCTGTACATTAGACTCTTTCTAAACTTAAATTTTCACTTCGCTAGGTTTGAGTGAGCTGTCTAATTTATCCTCGTTTCCAGACCGCACTTCCATTTTCACTCTTCACTTCCAATTTCCCAAAGATTGTATTGCTTTTTTGAAATTTCAGTAATAACAAGTGATGAAACATCGCATTTGCGATTGATCATTTTGTTGAAAATTTAATTTTTGGCTCTTTGCAGAACACTTCCGATGTAAATTATTTGGCTTTTTCATTGAATCTCAGCTATTGAATATATGTAATTTTATGAATTTAAGCATCGTCCAGTTAGCTATTTGATTGCTAACTGTTCGACATCATTTTAAGCATTTTTAAGGGTTATCTGTTAAAAAAAGCAAATACAAAGAATATAATCGGCACTTACTATTTTTCTTTACTGCTTTAATTTGTTTGTTCACCGATTACTTTAAATCAAATAATAAGAGTTTAACAATTTTAAGTATTTTTGAACCACTATGGCCTTGTGAAATAGTTGCTTAAATATCGAGAATCTTGAAATACCCGTGCTGGCTATCAGATGAGCACAAGATTAACAAGTCATGGAAAACTATGTGCCGTATAGCATTCGATAATATTGAGTTCAAGGCTTTCACACTGATGTCCAAACTGCTCTTTTTAGAAATTAGTACAACTGTTAACAGGTTAAGGCTCATTGTAAGAAAACATTTATCTATTTAGCTTTAATATTAAATATGTAAATAGCAAGGATATTTTACATAATTATGATCTGGCAGAGTACTTATCTAATTTCTGACAACCCTCATGATTTTCAACTTAAACTTCAATCGATTATATAAGTGATAATTCTATTTTATCCAAAGTAATGCTAATTAAGACTCCAAGCACATTTTGTTATTTGCGACAGCAATATTTATTAATTACTCGCAATTTGAATTTATACAATTTGGAAGGAATCAGGCAGATAAAGTTGCGATTCAAACATCGCTTTTATTTTTGTTTAACAACATGCTACACAGAAAATGAAATTATTGATTTTGAAACAAAAATATTATATCTGAGAAAAAGTTGAAATTCTTCTATAAATAAGAGTTTTTTAATCGGTATTGGTTTTTCACAACCACTTCGTTTTTTTTCAAGATTTTTTTCAAGTTGAAGTTTTATTTTGCTATTTTGTGAATTGTTTTCGACGAATTTTATCTTCTTAAAAAAAGTTCATTGTTTCACAAGCTTTTCAAAATTTTTTTGTTACATTTAGGAAAATGATCTGTTACGTTTGCAGTGGAAAGTAATATTAAAATCGCAATGATCACGCCAGCATTTATCATTTTAATTGGATGTAACAATTTTGTTGTTTTAATTTAAAATAATTGTGTTCGCATTAATTAATTTCTTCAGCAACAATATTTATTTCAGATTTTGTTTGTTGACATTTATAAAATTAATGAGCAATTTTAAGTATAAATATTATTTTTCAACAAATGTAATGGGCCAGTGCCTCAGTGAACCTAAGCTATCTTACAGCTACTACAAACATTCTATGTATGGAGGGCTTTTGGAGTAGTGATTGTGTGGAACCGTGTATTAGTGAAATGCAACTTATCATGGAAAATACACCATTCAGTCGAAGTGACCATCATGGACAACTTTCTTTGACACAACTTTTACAAGTTTCTCTTTTCTACTTTTCAAGATTCAAATTATCATTAAAGATAGATTTGATGGCTATAGTTTAGTTGCTTTAATTTAATCTAATAATATATTAGTAATATAATAATTTACAAAAAAATTGTTAAATTCGAATTATTAAATGCAAAACGATTTGAAAGTCAAAGACACTGCCACCTCCGCATTAGACATTTATTTGATTACCTTGATTGAAATATATTTATAAATTAAATTTGACAAATTTTATGAATTAGACCACACATATTTTATAATAATTCATTTTTCATTTTATTCCTGCTACTAGAAACTGATTTTTGAAATCCAAAACGGTATTAAAATTTTCAGTTAAATACTGATGTCTCAATAAAAGTTCACGAATAATTGCAGTTTTGTGATCACTGAGGGAAGATCAGCTTTTCGTTGAAATTAAAAACTGACGAAATTAGAATTCTGTTAAAATTTATCAAAATCAGTGAGAATAACCAAATGATCCTTCCAGGCATCAAAAAATCGTCGAGTAACCGAAAATTCATTTTACAATATTTGCGAGTAAGTGTTTCTTCTCTCTTTTTGCTCTCGAATTAATCTTATTAAAAGTTAAATGATGAAAAATGCTCAAGCCATATGAAAAAAATACAATAATATTATTGTGTTTTGACTAAATATTATTCGTTATTCTGTCCATCTTATATTGATTCAGTACATTAAGAGAGAAGTTTTGAAATTATTTAAAATGAATACATTAAGAGCTTATAAACGAGTAGATAAATGTTTGGAAGAATGCGAGAAAACATCTGAAAACAGTGTCACTATTCGTCGAACGTACGCTGGATTACGCTTCATTTGTATTGAACAGAAAGAAGGTTTGTTTTCCACTTAGGTTTCGTTTAATTTTGGATAATTTAGTAAAAGAAAAATTATTAGTTATGAAATCGGAAAATTTCGAATTTGCATTGTAAACTTTAAAAAATAGTTACAGAGACAATTTAAAGATGAAAATTGTCATTAATTTTCACAGTGAATAAGGAAAATCGTAGATAAGAGCAATATTATTCTTGCGTTGTGAAATTTATGAATTTTAGTCATAAAAGAGGAAAGGAAAGGACAGGAGAGATATATGAATTATATACAGCTCCATTATTTCTCCCTCGGGAATTCCTCATTTAACCATCTGTAACAATATAATCAAAACAATGAATTCTTTAATATCTATCCATCTCTCACTGGCACGAGGTAATCACACAAATTCCTTTTAAATTTGTCACATAAACCGGGATTTTGAAAAAGCATTAAAATTATATAAAATTACTACACTGTTTTGCAGAGCTGAGAATTACTTCTGTTCAGCTTCGAGGAAAACTTCACCTCATCACTTAGTTCTGCGCATTTCTCCAGTCACTTCTCTTTTAGCTGATTTAAATCATTTTCAATTTGTTGAAAACTCATAATTTCATCCATAACTTTGAAATTTTGCAACTATCTAATGGTCCCTACCATTCCTTTCCATCCATCTTCCTTTCTCCGCAGGCAAACACATAAAACAAAAAATTTATTTCCGATTTCTGCTACATGCAAGTTAATCACTTCGCAATTCCTTTTGCATTAGAGTGCAACAAAAAACAAGATGTATTAAAACTATTTTTCACAATAACTGCTCCCAATGTCCCTAAATAATTGAGTCATAAACAGATATTTAAGTTCCAATCCGTATCAATAAAATAGTGATGGAAGAGCAAGAAAATTTCCTAGTCAATTCCGAGAATATTAGTTTAATTTAACAATCTTGACAACACCAGTATCGAACTATTGCTTATTGTTCAAACCTACTCCACATATAGGATCACTGCTTCAAGTATAACCATAATTCAGATCACATTTCTGTAAGGGATCAGTAGGTGTAAAAATTATGAAATTAAATAAAATATAGCTAATGCATATTGGAGATCTATAATGCGCTTTAAACAAATATGATTTCAGAATTCTTCAACAATTTGCCATGTCTTGCTCAGTAAGTTTGTCTTTATTTTCTTTGCATTTCCCAACTGAATCTCTAAAAATTTCATTGATAAGGACAAGAGAAGTAATTATTTTTTTATGAAATAATATACTTGAAAGTCCACTACTCTTTTTCTTCGTCAGTAATATTAGCTTTCAATAATCAACAAGTTACAATATTGCCCCATCAAAAGTACAGGTATGAACCAGTGGCAATGTCACGATGTCAAAATGAAATAAATCAATCGTTGATAGGTAGCAATTCATTCAGTGCAGCTGTTATTAATCGTGAACAGCACAATATTCAGAACAGGTTGGGAGTGCTTTGCAGGTAAATTTCAATCATTTATTTTGAGAAATTTAATCACTATGAGGAAACAAAAAGATAATTTTTGCACTGGCAAGTCAATTTTTTCCCTAAACTTAAAGTGTTGAAAATCATATTCAAGAAATTAGTGTCTTTAGACATTCAACAACATAAATTTACTCAGAGACTTGGCAAATTTGATCAAATGTATCGAACCGGTTACGCGAAGTGGCTGCGGCGAAGCTGCAGCTAAATTGATGCTCAAGTTCATCACTGTTGGCTTTACAAGGTGAACTTATCCATATCAATTCAATCGATTACTGCAAAAAAAAATAGGATAACTAATCAAGATCTAAAAGAAGGATAAGGCAATATATGGGAAAGAGCAAATTTTCTGTGAAATTTCAATGAAACAAACCTAGGTTTGTTTCAATGAAGATTTCCTCAGAGTTTTGATTTCTTGGTTTGTGATCGTCTCAATATCCAGTTATTAATTCTATTTGTAGAATAAATAATTGGATTTATTAAAATGATCATAAATTGAACAGTGATTTGCCAGCTATGAATTCTTAGCAGACCACTGTTTAAGTTCTTTTTTCTTTAGTAAGCGGAACTGAATACAAGGAGAAGAATTGTTTCCTTACCCTCTGAATTGAGTTAATCAAAAAAGTTTCTAACTCATAATTATGTAACGTTTAGTTCGGAATTCAAAGTATGAGATGGCATAAATTAAGCGCTCGCTTCAAAAATTATGATTTAAATTCGTTTCATGCGTTTTCAAATCAACTTTGATTTGAAATTACGAAGAAAAAATTTTAGCTTTGAACAACTGTACAATCATCTTGGTATTACTGATCAACTGCCTCATTCCTGCAGGCAATTGCGTAACTTAACCATTGAAAGTCGAATTAACAATGAAAAACGGTTGATTTTTTCGTCTCCACAATCACGTAATTCTTATTTGGAAAGTGCTATGAACTGGAATGGTGCTTCTCAAATTATTCCAAGCATAATCTTTTCATTGCTCAGCATTTCGTTTTGTTATAGCTAAGCTTTTCTTTAACACATTTAAACAAATTCAAAAATATCAAATATTCAAAATTATATTTGAAAAAATTTCATCAAACTCACGAGAAAATTCTTGCGAAGGAGTATGTGATTCAAAAATGAATCTACACAGGATAGTTCACGTAGTTCTTGTAAGCTTTTTTACTAATTTTCAAAAGCATCGCACCAAGTTGTTTTCCTGGTCCTACTTCCATGAATGTTGGAAACTTGAAGTCCTGAAATACACTCGAAGAAATGTAGCATTATTTTGTAAGTGAACAAAAAACTGCGTCTTGAAATATCTACCTCAGAAAATATAATTTTCTAGGAACAGCGTGAACACCCACAATTAACTACTTGCTCATCAGTCGTAAATTGATAACCATATGAGCAAAACAGATAAAGAGCAACAAATAATGTAATTAATTGTTTACTTGGTGTTTTGCATGAAGTAATTGCTGGATTTGCTCCCATTTAACTGGTGAATAAACTTGTTTAACAATTGCCTCACGAATCTGTTTCTCTTTGTATACATATAGTTTACCTGTATAATTTGAATAAATATTCATCCGTGGCTGTTGGCTAATTTTCACCTCTGAAAATAATTTTTTAACTCATTTTCTGATGGAAAAACATTCTGGCATTTCAGCTAAACTATTTTCTACTACTTTATACGATTAATTCTTTTTCTTAATAAAATACATTAAAAATATGTTCACATTATCCGTAATCTAACATTTTTTTTTATAGGAACAGCACCTGCGGTTTCATAATATCAAAAAATTTAAGAAAATAAATGAGGAAGAGATATACGGTTCAGCAAGTTAACATTGAGTGCAAAAATTTACTTTTTTAACAAAATTTTGAAGCAATAATCTTTCCCAATCTGAATGTTTAGTGAGCACAAAAACAATAAAATCCGGAAACTTTAAGCAATACAGCCAACCTTTCAGAGCACTCTTCAGCGTATTAGCAGCATCTTTCATTAAAGTAGTATGAAATGCGCCATTTACGCTTAACCTTTTCACTACCTAAAAGTATTAACAGTAAAGAAATGCAAAAAGAAGAATGGAATAAAATATGAGGAATAATATATCAATATTCTCGTAAAAAAGATTGTTTCACTTACATCGAAAGTTTATTCCTATTTTTAAAAGAACTGTTTCCACGAAAATACCTGGAAGACATATTTCTCTTGATTATTATTCAGAAAGTCAATGCAATTTTCTGATGCTCCAATGACTTTCACACCACAAAATAAATAATTAGCTACTTCACATATTGGTAGCTCGCCTTTTTCCCTAAAATTTAAATGATTTAAATGCTCTATATTTATTTCGAGAGATATTTTGAAGCTTCGATATTTTAATTTACACTTCAGAAAGTTAAATTCTGCACGAATTGAAAAAATTATTTTAATATCAAGCCATACATTTACATAAATAATGCAGCAATGTAAAAAAGAATATAAGCGAACCAAGCATATGCTTTGGCATCTTGCAGCGCTTCCTCCAATCGTGTGGCCGCATTTACCCGTATTGTTATCATTCCAGAATGATATCGTAAGCTACATTGCTGCATAGCTTCAGCGCGAATTTTTACCAATCGAAGAGCTTTATAAAAATTTTAAATTTGGCAAAGTTTCCACTAAACTATTTTAGCATCATAAAACCTCAATTACTAAGTAGTGAATTTTAATGTCAATTAAAAGTTTGAAATAGGTAAATGAGTATGAGGTTTGTAGTCAATTCATAGTCATTTAGCATTTTATCCACAGTGGCATATATGCTTAATAATGACTTTTACTTTACTGCAATGAAAGATGAATTGTGATGCTAGAAAGGTACGGTGTAGTTTAAACACCAAATATTAATTAGCAATTCGAAGGCAAAATGAAAAGAATCAGAATTAAAAAGTTAAATAAATGCTACTAATAACAATTATTTCTCACAAATATAACTCACCGCTAAATTATCTCGACAGTATACTGCAAAATTAAAAGTGATGACTACCTCAGAAAAACAATTAATACTAATGGCATTAAGATGACTAGTGATTATAGAAATAAATAAAGTGAAAAAACAATTGAGATTTGCTAAGAATGCAATATAAAACTTAACAGATTTAATCAGATGCAATAAGAAGAAACGCATACGTTTAAATGAGAAAATTAAAAAATAGTTATTAAAACAAAACCTACCATCCTCGAAAGAAAGTATTTCAGAAACTACAAGTGCAGCAAATTCACCGACACTGAAACCAGCTACGTCAGTGGTACGAGCACTCAGTGTTTCATTTTCCGCTTTTGCTTTTTCCCATGCAGCCAATGAACTAACGAAAATAGCTGGTTGAGAATAAATTGTCTGATCGAGTTTCGATTTTGGTCCTACTTACAAAGATATTTAATTTGAAAATACATTTAAAACTTTAAAGCTCAACTTGAAAATGCATATACTTTCATTTTTGTAATTCTGCTGTATTTTAAGCAACCAGAGTATTAAATTGATTTAAAAATTATTTGCATAATGCAGGTGGAATCAAGAGTTTTTTGGTCATTTTCAATTTTTTTTCGCAAACGACCAACAAATTCTTCTAAATCGACTTGCATTATGTAAATAATTTTTCTTTAACGATCGCACAATCTTGAAAGAAAAATTATTTGATAGAACTAAAGTAAGTGTATGGATAGCATAAATTTTTATATAAAAACCTACCTTCCAAGCACAATTTCAACAAATCATACTGTAATATTTCTGATGCTTTTTCGTAAACATTAATTACTTTGCTATAGTCCATCACCTAAATGCATTGAATTGAAACCCATATCAACATTTCGACCTTACATCAAAGAATCAAAGCTGGATATCACAAATCTAGCTTACTTTTTTACCCATGCCGACGTACTGTGTCCCTTGACCAGGAAATAAAACAATCACCTGTTCTTCAATAGGTAATTGACTAAAATCAAGCTCCCCACTTTTGCTTCTCTTGCCATCAGTTTTATTATCAGTCTTTTCTATTACCTTCGGTGCCTTGTTTTCTAAAAATCGATATAATTCCTGAAAGTATATAATGATTTTTACTAGTATTGATGCAATATGGATTTCAAAGAACAAATTTAACCCAGCAAAGATTTATTTTTATGTATTCCACGTAGTTTGGAAAGATGAAACATAGGGACTTTAGAAAGAAAATAAGTGATCAACCACTTTTCAAACAAAAAAACAAAACTAATAAGCTACAACCAAATTAAGTTGAAGAAATTGAAAAATAGAAGTCATATTCAAGAAAAAAATACTAATTGTGAATTAAAAAATTTACTTTTTCTGGATATGGCAATGAAGTACACGGATCCACAAAAGATGTCTGTACATCTGTATAAGTTACAGCATCATCTAACCATTTTGCCGGTCCATCACCGCCGTTACTAGCAGTCCTTTCATTTAGACGAATTTGCTTTAACAAATTGAGCAAAATTCTCCTCCTGAAGAACATTATTTCAAAAACCTGAAATATGACAAGAATTATGAAACAATTTGTTTCTAGGACTTGTATATCCAATCAAATTCTTGTTCAGGATCGCAAGCGTTTCAGAAACGTCTGCGTTTCTGTTGTAGAAATTAAAATTGTAAAATGCGTCCTCACTATACAATATTGGTGATCATGTCTACAGCAGTCATAAATGCATGAAGACACATTATTAGTACAATACTTTATGTTACTTAATAAATTTAAGTTCGGCAAACCCGATCTTTTTACTAAACAGCAATCTCCCTCACATTCTCGATATATTAAACTCCCGATAAACAATCTTCGCTCTAGCATATTCTTATTAGAATAGTACTTTCAGCGACTTCACGATAACAACTTTCTGAGATGAGACATAAAATCACGAAAAATTTATTAAAATTAATAGAAACTATAATACATGCTACATACAACAGAAGTCAATGGAAGCAGAGTTAAATCACGAGACATCGGGATGACTAGAAAACTTCGTATGCAGCAAACAAAAATAACACTAATATGAAATGCATCGCAGGCATATTGAAAGGAGAAACGAATTTTTTTTTGAACGAAAACAAGAGAAATAATTTTTTAAAATTAAGAAATAATTCGAGATATAAAATATTAATTTTAAAATGAGAAAATGAAAAACTTTTTCAAAATGCGACAGCGATGTGCATCTTCTACTTGTAACGAGGTTACTTAAGAAATATGAAACGTGTAAAAAGCTTTTGCTAGATCTGAAAAGTCAAGAACATTCGAAGTACAATCTACAGCCTCAATAATAAGTTTGTTCACTAAAAATTTGAAAAAAAGATCTTTTATAATAACGTCACTTATAATAAAATATTGATCAAATTTCTATAATCTAGAGAAACATAACAAAAATTTTCGTTTCACCATGAGATTAATTTATAATTTCTTTAAAAGCAGTTTTGTTTTTGACTATATGATTACATCAGTTTACCAGGAAGAAAACCGATAAAATTGTGAGAATATAAGTCCAGTAGCTGAAACGGCATCGTCAATACCAACTGTTCTGGTTGGGAACTTGCATATTAATGCAGGAGTATAGATAAATACAACGTCATTACGCATCCATGAAGCTATAGGCCTGAAACCGAAATCACACTTAGAATAGTGTACATCAAAAATTCAAAGTTAACAGGATATAAAAAGTAGGTGATTTGCATTTTTCAAAATTCTGAATCTACAGTTAATCTACAGTACTAAATTTCAGACACAAAAAAACACCTTTGCGGTTCGAAGACATATCGCTTCCCAACTTCTTTGTCAAGCAAAGGAGCTTTTGAAATTCTCAATTCCAAATTATCCGTATGTAAATCATCTGTAATTTTACAGGACTGACGAGCTGCAACCTTAGCACCTGCTGCTAGACCAGAAGCCAAATTCGACCAATCTGTTCCTTTGTAAACCTTCAAAACATTACCAAGAATGTTATTTACAATTCATTACTCAAGTTAGAATTAGATTTGCCCTCAAATTGGAAAGTTGAGGTTTTTAGAATTCAAAGATTTTTGAAAATAGCTAGATTTCAAGATTGATAAAATGCTCTCAACTGATTGCAGAAAACTTACCATTAGATGAAAGGTTAAGGAATAAAAGTGTATCCTGGACAGCCTATAGTGATAATTTTTCGATTCTGGATCAGTACTATTATGTCCAAATTTCGTCAGTAACCAATACAACATATCCACCACCTTCAATAAAAATTCATCTTAATTTTTAAATGTTGAATAGATTTTTATTAATGAAATATAACGACAACTTCATCCGTAGCACTTAGTGGAAAGCTAAAATTTCTAACAATATTTACCTTGTATACGTGTATTGCACCAGGAAAAACAGGATAAAGATCTGTATATGGTCCATTAGCAACATGAGAGAAAAATGTTAGCTCCTGTTCGTTCAAACCTAACGAATCAACGTGAGGTACGATCTGAATAAAAATAATCCTCCTCATAAAGCTACAAATATTCTTTAAAATACAAATCAAGTATATCCATGACAATATGTGATGGAAATATTGAGAATATCAAACGATGAATTAACTACTGCATAAGAAAGATAAGACATTATAAGAGAACTATTTCTATTAGCTGTAGCGAACAATGACGGATACGTCGTTAGCAAATAATCACTGCTACTAAGTGGAATTTACACATATGTCTACCTATATTTGTTAGGAAACAAACTACTCGTGGAAATAAATAACAAATAAATTTAATGTTAAAAACATAATCAATGATTCAAAGTTAGAAAAATAACGAACTCGATGAAGAACATCAGCGACATGGTCAGGATTACCCATATTTCCAAGTTGGAAATGAATAGGGATATTGTGTTTTACTTGTAACAAATTTCGCTTAATTAAGCGAAGTTTCTCCATTTGCATTTCCTTATTCTACAACATCAAGATATAAAAGACAAGTACAGAAAAGATGAAATTAACTTAACATTAGAACTGTTGATTAGCCAAAGCTTCAAAGTTCTTAATAAAACTGGTATGGTATCAAACAAACTCACTTGATTTTGTAGAAGATGAACACCTGCTAAAATGACCAGATCAGGATTAAACTGATTTATCGCCTTGAAAAACATTTCAATCACAACAGCACTGCCACTAAATAATGATAACGTATCGAGTGTAAAAAATTATATCTTCAACTAAAGGAAGACAAACCAAAAAGATTCCAGGGAGCCTTCAATAATTTTTAGGAACCTGGCTCAAAAAGACAAAGTTTTCAATATAAAAATCGAAGTTAAATTTTTTTTTGAACGCACCTATATTGATCGTGAGAAGTAATAAAACGTGATGAAGCAGGTGCTACATATTCATCAAGAATTTCTCCTCGTTTGTATTCTATAATAACGTGTAACTCATCTTTTACAATACGAGTCGAATTTGTACGAACTATTGATGGATGAAGTAAGACTTGGCTTCGAGGTCCAATAGGCCCAACTAAATATGCCTAAAACACTGGCAAGAGTGGTAGAAATTAAGAGAAAATCAATTTTTTTGCTTGTCAAACTTATTTAGACAAGTTGACAGTTGTGGAATGAATGCTATAGAAGCAGAAAATTTTATACTGTTAGAATATTTTCAAAAATACAGTAACTTCGTTTTAAACATATTTTATTACTTTTATAAATGTTGATGCATAACTTACAGTAGTTCTTGGAAAAGAAGTAGCTATCTTTTGGGCCATCAAAGCAGCATTTCCACCGATGTAATGATGAGGTCGATGACGAGGTTCACTAGCAAAATTTACAAGTGTTTGAAACATTTTCGGATCTGATATATGTCTGGAATATTACACAAATTGGAAAATGTTAATTTCAAAACATCCTGATGATTAAAACAAAACGATAGCAACACCTTAAATAAATAATTTCTCCAAGCTTCGACAGAAAATCACCTTTCGGCAGCAGCACCTCGCGAAAAGAAATAAGCGAAAGATTCATACAAATCATTAACATTGTTGATCACCTAAAAACACTTCACTTTAACTAAAAATATATCACTGCTTTACTCCTTTTATGTACTACTTCATGTTGGTCAGGATGTTCACAATTTTTTTTAATATACTGTGTGCCTAGAAAGAATATTTTAGTCACCCGCAATGCTTATTAAAATGCAAAATGGTTCTGCACCTCAAACTACATTATCATCCACCAAGTGATGGTAGCACTGAGAGTTAAAAGCTCAAATTAAAAAATACTATAACAAATTATGTTAAGTGTAACAACTTCATTGTCCTTGCGATAGGTGGAAGTACCATTTAAGCGTTCCAATAGACTTGTCCCAGTAACAATTATATCAACGTTGCAGTTAATTCTGGAAATTTCAGGAAGTTATCCCAAAAGGCAAGATAAACAAAAGTTATGGAGATCACAACACTACTCACACATTTAAAATGAAGAGTGATTTTATTCATCAAAAATCTTGAATTCAGAACAAACACTCGAAATTTTTTAGAATCGTGGTTTTAATACATTCCAGAAAAACATGAAGTTCTAGCAAGTTCAGAGAAATAAAAACAAACCCAATTACTACCCGCCGGAAAAGCATCTTTGGTTGAACAATCACTCTATCCCATGCTTGCATTACAGTTTGTTCCACTGAATAAGAGTGTTTCCGATGTTGTTCATTAAAATAACTATACAGCCATGGCACCGCGGCAAAGACCAACGATAGATGGAGTATTTGATTGTAAGGTGTATTCCACCACAATATTTTCATTTCCAAATCCTTGTAAAATCAAAAAAAGTACACAGATATGGTAAGGAAAAAAAAACAAAGTTAATAACCTAATAAGAAATATTAAAATTAATGTCATCCGTAAGGCATGTAATGTGGAACCCGCAGATAACAGCGGAGATCATATGTTGGCGTTAAATTTTGTTATAAACCTATAAAAATCTCAAATGTTATTTTTATCAAAGTAAAACTTCCTTACCACATTAATTTCGGATTATTAGTTAATTCCAGTTTTTTTAACAAATTAGTAAATTGTTAGAAAGGCTGCAAAATTGTCATCTAAGAAGTGCTTTTTTACTTGTCCTCTGGTGACGCTCCTACTTCAAGCTAATGTTTCACATACTGTCTACTTCTACCAGGAAAATCTGTATACACATTGTTTAAAATACTTCAAATGTTATGAAACAATACCCAGAATTATAACAAATCTACGGTTCAAACATGCAAATGCAAAAAAAGTATCATCTTTCAAAAAAATTTTGTAGAAGAATTTCTTATATTTCAATGAGTTGTACAATCTTTCCTAATAAAAGCTCTTTTCTTTCTCCTTATTTTAAACTTACGCTACTTTTCACAACAGCATTTCTTTCATTAATCGATTTGAACCCTTGCATTATTACATTTAGTCTCGAAATACCAAGATTTGAATCTCTTGAACAAAAAATAATGGAAGTAAAAAGCTGAAAATCATAAAAAAAACTTTATTGTCACAACTAAAACGGTTTAAAACAGTCAACAATAGATTTTCAAAATTAATTTTATGACAAGAGATGGACTAATAGCAAAAAAATAAAGGAGTAAAAACAAAGCATTTGTTCTTTTGGATGTCATTAAGTGGAACAAACAGCAAGTGATGGAAAGATGCATCGCCAGATGTTTAGACAGGTAACGGACAAAAACTAAACATCTAAACAAATTTATATTGAAATAAGCACTTTAAGGACAAAAATCATATATTAATATGGATAAAGTCTACAGAGCTCAGTAAGAGAGATATAAGTGTTAGTGTATGCCGAACGAATACAGGATTAAAAATTTGTACCACCATAAAGAGGTTTAAATTTCCTGAGTGAAAACATCTGACCCCCCATAAATTTCCAAACTTTATGCATTTTTAAACTCAAATGGAACACCTCTTCCGTTAATATGTGGCACTCCAGAAGTTAGAAATACAATCCACGAGGAATTCGAAATAAACACAAAAAGTGATCAAACAAACAACAGAAACACTAAAACTTTTAATAATAACCGGAATCAAAAGTCTAGATGAAATCAGTTATTTAATTTTGAAACTTTGAGATACTTCTTGTAAGAATCAGGCTTCTCAGGAACTGAATTGTCATCATATCATTTAATGTTTCCCAAATAAATTTTTCTATCGATGTTTATTTCTGCAGAAAAGTAGAATTGAATCGAGAGTTTCACAAAGTTTTTAACTGATCTTAAAGGAAGAAAGAAGTTTGGATTCAATGAAGCCTTCCAATTTTATATGTTTGGTTAATGTCAAAAGCTTTTTTGAACATTATTTATCAAAGAAAATTTTGAAAAAATAATTCCTTTTGCAGCTAATATTCTTAATAATTTTTTGTTGGGATCTGAATAGTTTTTAGAAAATTTCATTTACTTTAACTTTATGTTTCTCATCTTTTACCTTTGATCTTATTTTCTTGACTAATTCTGCCACTGCCCTTCCTTTTTTACCTGATTATCTTCCAAAAGATTATTAAATCACAATAATTTTGGTGACTCCGCATTATGATAAATTATACGAAAAGTGATACATCAAATATCTAATCTCGGATTTACACGGTATAAAATGTGAATGTCGAGATAAATTTTTAGAATATAGATTTAAAATAAATTACCTTACAATAATCAACTTTTGAACGACTAATTTTCATTTTCTTTGTCTTTGGTTCGGAATTCGAGGATGTTCCGAGATTTGAACTGCGCCGCAAGAACAATTCTCTGCAATCAGTTTGTCATCTAAAGTGTTATTGAAAGAAAATGTCAAAAGAGAACAAATTGATTTACCTTGTCATATCTGACTCAGCAATGATGCTAATTCCGGACGACGGACTTCTGATATTTGAGCCTTTTTTGAGAGCAGGTTCGCGATTAACGAGTTCTGTGACTGTCGGTAAAGCTAAATTTGAACAGATAACGACAAAAAAAATCTGTTAAAATTTTGTAATTTCCAAAGGTTAGTAGAGATTAAATGAATATACTGAATAACGTAAATGCCAATTTTCTCAAAACTTAAAACAGTGAAGAACTATGTGCTAGACAATCACGTAAATGTGCAATGCTTTGACGATGGAATCAAGAGAGAAAGTAATATAAATACTCCAAACAGTCTTTCTATCAACTTACAAACAGTAGAATCCATACGCGGTGAATTTATGTAAGGACCACTCGGGGAACCGAAAGTTGCGAACTGTCCCGAACTTTCTGGGACTTCTTCGCTGTCTATGCATAAAACAAAACAAAAACATAAAGAAAAAACAGAAATAGAAAATAAAAAACTTTGCAGTACGATTCCTATCCTAAAATATACTGCGAGATTTGTCGGATATTTCTGTAAATTCTATATTTTTTACCTCTCCAGATCCACACATTTTACCAAACATCCGAATTAGTTTCTACCGAAAATTCTATTTAAGGTGAAATCGAAGCATGTGCAAAGTGCCTTCCACTACACTTAAACGATTTTTTTGATTAATGCCAGCAGCAAATAACTAATAAAACATTCAAAACAAAAGTTTAAAATATGAACAGACCAAATAAAAATTAAGGAAAGAAAATAGTAACTAATAACAACAAATTCATATTGCGAACATCGTACTCAAGTCAGAGGCTCAGGAAAGGCAAACTACCTCCAGCATATTCAGAGTTGAAATCACTCTTCTGCAAATCTGTTGTGCTTGCCAGTGCTTCTTCACAACTTAAAATAACTGCTTTCACAGGTTCTGTAACGAAAATAAATCGAAAATAAGATCAATTAGTATATTCATTTATTGCACGTAATACAATAAATTTCTCCAGGTTTTTCAAATTTTCATTTATGTTGAGACAAATCTTATACGTCATATAAGGAACATTTCTATAAAGATATAGAATACATACATGACGATTAAATATCATAATAAAAATGAGAAAAAGCTACCGTTTGGAGAATCACCTTCCAACGGTGATGCTCGCATCGACTCAAAAATTTCGGCACTATTTTCCTGCGAAATGTCATTCCTGGCTTCCATTTGTGCTTCTAGTGAAGAAATTCGCAAATTCCTTGACTTTGGTGTGCTATCTTCGTCTTCTATGATTTTCTGTAATAATCTTAATCATCTGATATTCAAAAAGCAGCGTTGCTAATTTGAAAAAAAATTTATTATTGCCTCTAGAAATAACTGAAATATGGAGAGCATCCAAATGCCAGCAACTAAGTTTAGTATCTACCTTACTCTTCTTTTCTCTTGCTTTTCCACCATACTTTCTTTTCTTCGACTTCTAAAATTTAAACTTAATAATTTGATTCCTAAGATTTAAATTAAAATTATATCACAAAATACTAAGTGCAGCTTGCATACAACCATAGATGAATTAAATCTATAATGAGGAAATGGTAATTAAAACACAAACGATCAGCCTGTCTTTCTTCGGTCTACCCGTCGGAGTTTCGTCAGTTATTCTCTTGAACGTCTGCAAAAATTACTTGATGAGAAAGTTGTTGGAACTATTGTTTTGAAAAAAATGACAACGTCATCAATTCCCAAAGCGTGAATAGATATGATGATGCAGATAAATCAGAGAATATTCTTACACATTCTTGAGAAATATGAATTCTAATTCGAAGAATAAAAATGGATAGGTTATATGTCTTACCAGTTTCTTAAAATCTTTGAAAGCTATTGAAAATTAAGCACACTATTTTAATTGGAGTCACTTGAAGAAATATATTCAAGAAACATTAATTTTTTCTACTGAAACATCGTTTACTCGAATTACTAGCGAGCAGGAGGAGAGCAGTATTCTTAGAATTTTATAACTGAATGCAAAAAGAAATTTACAATCCTATGGGACGGTAAATTTCCTTTTGCATTCAGCGCTTTCAATATGTAATCATTTTATTAGCAGAAGAACGTTCAGCTGAATGATTAGATTGTCCAAAATTTATTCGGACATACAGAGATCTTATCTTTGGAAATGGAATAGTATATTCCTTACCTAGCATAATACACTCTCAAGCTAAGAGAGTATACTATAATACGTTATCTCATATCTAGTATTTCAAACGTTATAACCTCTCCTATCACTTTCATTAACAAGTTCAAATAGGATGATGAAAACACTTTTGGGAATTGTATAAAGATAACAATACTTAATAGATACAAGCATTACAAGCGGTTATTATTAATATTAGTTATCGATGAGATTTGAAGAAATGATTTAACATTGGTAGATATTTGCTAATTATCACTTTAAAAGGGTATAAGATCTGATTTTCTAGGAGCTTACTTGTAGCTCGTTTTTCTCAGTGGAAACACTCTGTTCATATTGTTCATTTGTACCTCCAAAGAAAACAGACTCCAGACATAAGGAGCAGCTAAAAACAGTGGAAATTTTTTTTGACTTTCTTAGCTATACCGCTTTCTAAAGCATATGCCCGCAAATGGATAAATAATTCTGAAAGAATAGGAATATAATCTGATAAATAAGGCAGCTGAAATAACGATTGTAGTGTTGCAATTCTAAATCATAAATTCAAAATTTAGGGTAAAATTAATAGTCAAAGTTATTTCCAAATAAAATTTCAGTTTAATCAAGTTTAATTTCAATCTATATATTCTTGATGAGGAAAGTCTACCTTTCAAATTTTGTACTAAAATTGCCAACTGATATTTTTGAAATAAAAGTCATTTTCTTGAAATGATATATAGTTGGTGATGATTTGAAACCGACCGGTTCATAAGTATATGGAGTGCCTGAAGTATTGTCAAACTAAAATGAGTGGAAAAACAAAGTCTCATATTATGTGAGCATTTTATCTGCTCATATAACAGATTTCATTTTCTAGCAGTTGTCTGAACGATGCTTTTTACAAAATAATATAAACTAGATGATAAGTTCCTCCTAATAAACTGATTTTTTATATCAATAGCGATAGTAGGGTATTCAGTATTGAAACGTTAAATTCATCCGTGCATCAAAATAGCATTTTCCTAAACGAACAAATAAAAATTAAAAACAATGATATATAAAACTCTTAAATACAAAAGTTAACTGATACTGAATTTTAAATTAACAACTTTGAAGATATTAAAATATCCAAAATTAAATTGTAAAATACAAACTTGAATAGTAGGTAAGCTTGAAATACGGAAAAGCGTTCTGTGGAACTGGCGATAGTGCATTCATAAGAATATCCAAGCGGTGCAGTAAAGCGATAACTTCCTTTCGTAATTCATTAACATTTTCACATGACACTGCAATTTCGTGCGACGGACTGCAATCATTGTAAAAATTAGTACATGTGAATTTCAGCAAAATTAGCATTATGAATATCAATATGACGGATACATCATTTCTAGAAATCAGTGCCAGAAAGAAACTAACACGGTTAGAACTTCGCGACTATCATAAAATAAAAGATCTGAGTTCTTGCAGTTTCAGAAATGTTTTGAAAGCTTACTGGTTTTGAATAACTAATTGTTTAAGAACAATATTCGATCAACAAGAGAGAAAAAACTGCAGTAATTAACAAAAAGATTTTTAAAATCTATACTCCAATAATGTCTCATAGAACTGTTTGTTTAGTCACTGGAGAAAATTAAAAAAAGAACTGTACAAAAAATCGCTTGTAACAAATGTCTTGAGAAAAATATCAATGAGTTGAATTAGTTGTAATTTACCTACGAAGAAGCAGTCCACCACCATCCGTGTAAGTGAAAGTGAGAGTATATGCTTCAATCACTTCATCCATGTTATCTGCTTCTTCAGTTGAAACCAAAATAAAGAAATCACGCAACTGGAACAGATGTCATATTTACTTTTCTGAAAATCGGTGACGGATATAAACAAATCAAGTTGGAAATCAATAAGATTTTGATAACCAACTGAATGGGGTCTCTCTGAATCTATGAATCTAACACAAAGATAATAAGCAAGTGAAAAAAAGAAATACCATATGCTTTATTTTAGTTCTAAATTAATGAAGATAACAAATGCTGATTGGAATTGTTATAAGATTTCAAAATGTCTTCAAGAAGCATACGAAAAGTATTGTAATATTCACAAACTTACATAATGCTTTTCAATAGCTTCGGAGACTGCATAAAGAAGTGCAGATAATTTCTTGCCTATCTCTGTATCTTCAGTAACGATACAGCACTTCAAGCCTTCAATAACATTTCAAAACTTTTATTAAAATGGTTAAAATTTTATTAAAGAATTTGAAAATGTGGACTTGTTACCGTCATCTAAAATCCACATATTTCATTTTTTAAATAGGTTAATTTACGTAATTCCCAAACACATGCATAATTTGATTTTAAAGAAATCATACGGAACATAAGAAAAGCCAACTATCACTTGCCGTCAATTATTATATCTTTGAAGGTCGAAGTTGGAATAAGCACTCTTTTTTTCATGATATCTGACACTACAAGAAAAAGGAATCTCTTCATGAAAAGCGTTGAAGAACGATTATCTAACGATGATGGGAAAAGCTTCATTTCTCGACCTTTCCGATACTGAAGCAACCGAAAAAAAGTTAAAGAGCTTCTAAAAAGATTAGACTGAATGTAAATAACAATAAATACCTTACATCAAAGGATACGTTAACTAAAAAAGAGAATTGGTAATGAAAATTAAACAAAATATCTAACAATAATTGACTACCTTATATAAAAAGAGAAAATGAACGGGAATGAAGCTGAATAGCCATTAATAGAGATCAAAATTCAAGCTACTCCAACAATTTTATGATATAGACATAAGTACAAAAATGAGATGTGCAAAGAAGTGAACAGTAAGCTAGTAAGAAATGGCATACCGATTTCGTCTCGCTTCCATCTTCACTCATTTTCAAAAATCTCGATGTGTTGATGTGTCTGAATTCCAGATTGTTTTAGAGATTATATGATTAGAATACTGTAAGTTGAAAATTAAATTAAAAATGAATTCGAAAAATGTTTAAAAAACCTAAATGAAGAAATACACTACAAAAAAACGACAAAGATGCTAGCGACTAACTAGCGATACCATCATTGCAACCAGGATTATTATCTCTACACTAGCTACTACCATCACCACAGCTAGTGATCATTTACCGCTACAAATACAGACACTATGTCGTTGAGACGTGTTGAGGAAACATTGAGGAAACATTTGAAAGTGACGTAGTGACGTAGCGTAGCGAGTAATGCGAAACGTTGCACCGCACTTAGAAAAGCCTCCTTATGACGGTTCTGCAGGAACGCCCAACAAATACCTAAAATTGCAAGTGCTGCAAGGATTGAGACTGTGCGTGCAAAAGTCAAAATCCTGAAAGGTTCATTCCAAAAACTGCGGGGGCCGTAAAATTTCTCTGAACTTTTTCCAGATAAATGTGGTCTTCTGAGAGTGAGAAGCATTGAATCGGTGTAGAAGTGAATCAGTTTACGGATGAGAATCTATTTTAGCGTAGCGGATTGATCGTAAGAATTGTTGCTGACTACGGCAATGATTGATTTGCTCCTGATGATATCATCGAGACTGGAAACAAAAGTTACTTTTTGGCATGCTCTTGTCGTACAGAATGTAATTGTTTGCACTAGAAAGTGTTTTATGGATTATTTTACAGAGTAATTTCCATTTATGACAGAGATTGCAAATTGCTTGCTGAACAGATAAAATGCTGACTTAATAGTCTATTCAATTGAATTTCAATTTTGAATTATCTCTAAGTTTCAATTTTGAATTGTTTCTAAATTTCATAAGTCGGTTTAAAATGGAGATGCAATTGCAACATGTGCTAATAAAATATGTTAAACTGATTTATTACAAGCATTAGTGAATAGAAAAATATGGAAAGAAATTGAGAAAATAGGCGAAAGACGAACAAATAAAAAACAAGCATTCAAATAAACGGCAAAACAAACAGAAAAGACAAGCCAAGTTATTAAGGAAACAAATGGAAAAATTTAAACCACAACGCTGGATAACTGTTCGAGAATGGGATTCAAAATTGAATAAAGTAAGACGAGAATTATATGTTTAGATCAAATGGATGATCAATTGATGAGATCAGAAAGATTTGATCGGTTTAAACTTAAAATGCATCTTTATGCAAGAAATTTGCAAAATCTTATGGACGGTTACAAAAATATATAAAAATATTTAGACATTTAACTCAAAAGTCCCCAAGCTTTAGAAATATTTTTGATTCGTAAGAAGTTTGCTTTATGCTTCTCTGGATTTTTTGAATTTCATCAAAGAACAGAAAACGATAACGAAATTCATATAGTACATTTTCATCATTTAGCTGATCAAGGTATTTCTCTAAATGCGAGGTAGCGCCTAATACCGTTCTCTTTTCATTTGTTGTATCATTTTCATATCATCAGTTCCAGTTCTTCATATTTATTTCAAATAGATTTGGTGTGTTCTTGAAATCAAAATGTTGACCATATGATGAGTTAAACAAACTGACGTGTCAGAATATCCAACATCGAAATGTTGGTTTTCTTATTATCTCAGACGATTACACAGTACAGCATGAATGAAAATGCCACATTGAATTTTTTAAAATACGTTAGTTGACGATCTCACATATAACATAACAGTTTAAAGATAAGCTCAACTGAACTGATTTTCATTATTTGCGATTTATTAAGAAATGTATTAAATCATCAAAAACAAAAAACAATACATTTAACAATAATCATTTAAAAAGTCGTAACTTCCAGAGATTTTTATATAATTCACCCTCGTTTCTCTAAAATGTTTTCATGATTTTAACATTCGCTAATTTTTCTTTTAATGTATCACAAAACCGGCTTTAAATTTATAGCACTGAAAAAAAAGAAATGTAGAAATTAAACCAAATTGCAAGATTAAATCTATAGTCCTGCGTTTCGTTCGTTTTTGAATCGACGACGTATTAGTCTTTCCATCACTTCATTTTCATCTTTGCCTGATTACTATAAATTTTCGATCTATACATGAATATAAGAATAAGAACTAACTGAGTGAGAAATTCAAGTGATCGGTTATTTTCGGTATCTCATATATCCATATATATCCATAAGAACTTTCAACGCAAACAGCAAAAGTGAAAAATACCAATGTAAATAAAGAATGCGTTCCTACCTTTGTTAAATTAATTTGAAGTAAAATCCAAAATCAGTCTGGTAACAGCAGGGCAAACAAATGAAACACCCGCATAAAGAATATTAAATTTTCAATTCTTGGAACTCTCAGAAAAATGGAAGTATTTCTAAAGTGTTTGTGTCAATGATCTTTGAATTGCAACTAATTTTCATTCAGGATCTCACTAAATATATTATTCTTACTATTGAAAATAACAAAACGCAGAGGATTTTTTTTCACATAAATTAGTCCCACATAATGCGACATTAATAGTATAAGCTCGCATCAAAAATAAAGCAAATAGTAAGAGAAAGCATGCAACCGTTAAATCGAAAGCTGCAGGAAGGTAGATTTAGAATTGAACAGTGTTAGTAAAAGCATTACAAAAAAAATATGAAATGAATACCCTCAACATTGCTAACCGTATAAAATCCAATAACATTTTAAAAAAAATTACCACTTTAACTTCAAAAAAGAACACAGAAGAATTCTATGTACCTTTTTTTGAATGAACTCGTAAACGTTGCAAAAAAAACCCGATAAATCGGTTTCAGCTAATAGCGAAAAATTCTGCTCTTGACAGAAAACAAAATGCTAAAGATTTTTTTCTCAGTTGAAAAGAGAGCTTTAAAATATATCACGAGGAACCGTTCATCGAATGATTGAGAAAATGGAAGAACTGCTAAGGTTTGTTACAGGCAGCTAAAATATTCAGCTTAGGTAACATAAGATCAAAAATGCCGGTACCACTACGTAATAATCCACCAATCACTAATCTTGATGATGGAGACATTAAATGATCATCGTCACCTGAAACAGTTTGACTTTTTACAAATGAAGTTCAAAAAAAGATAATACTGTTTTTTATTGTTTTATATTTTCTTTTGATTGGGAGTTCACAATTAATGAACATGCCATTTTATAGCAATTGTGAACGCTCAAATCACTAGCAATCCTCGGAAGATTAAACAACAAAACTTGTAGAAATTTACTGAAAACACTGATAGGGTATCTGACCATTTATAAGAGCATCACGCATGAATGCGATCGTTGTTTCGAAAGTCATCCGTTGAAACGGTGATGCATTTGAACTCATTGCACTACGGCTAAACGGTTGAATTCTTCCCGTAAAAGTCATGTAATCAGCAGTAAGTGTTAAGTGTCGCAAGTTTATATCGATTCCGTATGGTGTAAAAACACGAATTATTTCCTGAAATCATAAATGTTATATTCAAATTTGCTTTACTCAAATGCTAAAATCTTCAGCAAAATAGTCAGTAACAATAGGCAAACCACTTAAAAATTCGTCTATGTTATCATTGTTCGGTAAAAAAATTCGTAAAATGGAAACAATTTAAAAAATCTTGATAATTTTATTTTCATCGAAGCCTGTTATATTGTATATCGTTTCCTATTGTAAAAAATCAACCAAATTATCACAATAAAAACATAAAAGCATTGCTTCCCTACCTAATTATCTCACTATGTCCTTCCTCCTTTACATCCAATCACTCTTTTGAATCGTAAACTTTAAGTTTCACACTATTAATCTTCTTACAAATCACAGATTTGGCTTCGTTTTAACACTAATAAAGTAACGTATATTAAGGAGATAAACTCAATGGGAAGTTGGTTGCACAATGTCGATTCACGTCTCATAAGTTGTCTTCCCAATATCTACCATATGGATAAATAATTTTAGGAATGTCTGGTAGAAATAATTATAATCATTAATTATTAATAAATTTCGTTCCATTCACTAACTTTTACTAAAGCTCGACCACAAGCTTCGATACCATAATTATTACACATCATATTCAGATTATTAGAATATAATGTATTCACATCAAGCACATCCGAATGCTTCATCAGTGCCTAAAAAAATCAAGTTTAAAAGAAATATCTCGCAGAAATGGGATAAATAAAGAAACAGTTTAATAGAGCTATATTCAAATGCATAGATTTGCTCGAACGAACTAATTTAATGATCTCAATTTATTTCAATCTTTTAAATTAAATTGTTACATATCATATCCGGAAATTAAATTGAAAGTAATTTATAACAATAAAATAATTATTCCATTTCTAACCATTACCAGAATAGTAGAAGTAAAACATTGGCAAAAATATAATTTGGGTTATAATAACAATTAGTTGATCTAAAACTGGTAACTGAGCGTGATTATTGGGGATATGACGCAATTCTTTAGTTTTTTCCTGATTCAAAGAACTATTTGCAGAAGAAAAATTGAAAAAAAATATTAAATGAAAACAATGTAAAAAATTAAAGGACATTATTGCAATATTCAATTTGTAAAAGCAAGCATAACACAAGTAAAATTAGCTACCTGCACATTGATACCCTGTGTAGCCAAAATCTGGTACTGATCATCACCACGATTTTCACATCGAACAATACATTTCTCAATTCCCGGTGTTTCCCAGATTAAAAACTTCTCCAGTTCCCTTTCAACCAATGCTCCTACATCTAGTTTTGTTTTGGTGCTTAGTGGCAACTGAAACTATTAAACCGCTTCCATAAAAAATTCATTTACAAACAATAATAATTAATAATTCAGCTAAAATGAATCTAAAGTTCCGGTGTTTGAAAAAGTTGATGAGAAGCAATAGAATTATTTATTAAAGCATTATTGGCAGCAGATCTTGGAGATCCAAAAAATATCGAAAGATTTGATAATGTCGAAAAAGAAATATTCTAAACCGTTCTTATAGTATATTGATATAAATAATACCTGAAAAGTGACGGTACACCATCGATTGCTTTTCACATCGAATTTGTAATCCCTTACCAAAGGTGATGATGTAATTACGCTCTACAAGTAAACTATTATGTAGATTTCATAAGAAATAAAAATCTTAATGGCTAGGCAGACAGACCGAAAGGATATTCTATTAAATATTTATGAAAATTATATTAAGGAATTCATTATTTCCCTACGAAAATCATTCTCGAACAAATAATGACAAATCATTAAAATATTTTCATTAGGAGAATAATGACGAAATATTTCTAAACTTAAAAATTATGGCATAAGAAATGAAAAATTATTAAGATAATATGCACTACTATTAAGATAATACGGTATTGATAACTACAAAAAAATTAAGCACTGAGAAAACCAAAGAAAGATAGAACTTCGAAGTTTGATGCTAGGAAAGATAAGTTCATAAAATTAAAGTGTGAAAATCAATACTTGTATGCGGGAAATTTCTGCTTCCTGAAATTTTTGTTGAGCAGCAGACGAATCATTTGCATCATCATCTCCCTCCAGTGCTGTTTCTGCGTCATCTTCACTTTCAGTTGATATTTCCATGAAAGCTTCCTGAATATTTTGCATTGCATAAAAAAACACAGTTAGAAAATATATTGCTGACAATTGATAAAGTCAGTAACAAGTTTTAACTATTAAAAAAGTGTAGAAAGGAATGAAAAGTCAAGAAAAATACTAAACCTCAACTTCCTGTTGCGGTAGAACTACTCGTTGCTCATCTTCTTCACCTTCATATTCAGCAGCATCATCTAAGTGGCGCTTCAAAATGCGACTTCCGTCAGCATCTAGATCAATCCCCCCACCAACTTCTTCATCACTACTCATTCCTTCATCCTAGACAAAAAAGTTCAATATGTGCAAACTGCTTTCATCAATTTCACATCATTACAAAATAATTATTCTTTTTTTCTTTCTTTTCGCTTATTATTCTTATCTGCAATTTTTAAAACTCCGATTTTACGACTTCATAAATTGCTGTATCAAAAATATGAAATATCTGGCTCAACAAGCTTTTCAAAAAATGAAATGAAGGGCAAATATACTGTGTGTAACCGTCATTCCCTTCCGCTCGCCAGAAAAGTATCTCTAGCGGAACCACTTCAATCCTACATCGAAATCAGACTTTTTTTGATTTTAGACCATAAAATATGAAATGATTGAATCAAATCTAAGAGTAAAATACGAATAATATAAAATAATTTAACTTGATTTACAACAATCATCACCTGTTTCTTGGGTTTTGGTGCTTCTTCCTCGCTCCCCACACCAACAGCGAAATTGCTCAGCTTCAATTTTCTAATAAAAAACATTAAAAAAAGCATACATCACATATCCACGAGTTAAAGCTATTGGAGCAAAAAACCAGTTACTATTTATAAAATTTAAAAGAGCTACAATAAATAGAACTGACTTATGCTGCAATGCCTGATAATCAGTCATCTCTCTGCATCGATCCGAGATACGCTTTCCAATTGCTTTTATGAATCGACGTTCGACTTCACCCAATATACGACGACGAGATATATGACGGATATATTCCATTCTTTCTTTTGTTCGTAGCAATTCAAGATGAAGCTCATAGCAGCGCCAGCTTTCTCTATAAATGGATTCATCTCAAGTTTTATCAGTTTATTAAAATAGAGGAAATTTGCGAAATAATGAAACTCGAAAATAACTCTGCCATTTTTAAAGCCCAAAAAAGATTTCACTAAAACATTAAATGTTTTATATCACTAAAATATTAAGTAATCTTATACGATTAAAGACCTCATCCACTAAACTTCTTATATGTTACAATCATTTAATGAACGTGTTTTAAAAAAAATGCAAGAAATACATGAATATCAAGATAAAAAGCACATAAAAAGAAACATACTTTTCATGAAGATTAATGCGTTCATAAATTATAAATTTCTTAATTAAGTCTTTTAAATAAATACGATCTAATTCTCTCCTGATAGCTTCAATGCGTTCCGGTGATGTACCTGGCTTTATATGAATCTGAAATGAGATCTGAAATTATTTCGTCGATTCGTCACGGATTAGAAAATCTCATCTAAAACCTTAAACAAATGAAGCAATCGATCAGATTTATTCTGGTTGTGAGCAAAGCTTTACGCAAAAACGTTGTCAAGTCACTACTTTAATCTATGTTAGAAAAAAGATTGTATTTTGAGAAGATACAAGTAACCTATGAACACAAGTTCAAAATATCGCTGAATGCAATATGATTCAAACTTATATTTAAATTATAGTTATGTTATGTAAGACAATTATGCAGTTAAATGGAAGTCATGAATTTTGCAAATGTCAATATCCAGAGTACAAAGGTAACCGTAAAATTGCACTCACTTCTGCACTGGGTGTTTTGATGTCCTTACTAGCACTCATTAAAATCTCGCGCAGTCGAGGAATACCCAAAGTAACATTCATTTCACCTCTTCCAGCAAAGTGGAAAGTATTTAAAGTCATTTGAGTTGAAGGCTCGCCAATAGACTGAGCTGCTAACAAACCAACATTTTCACCAGGATCGACCCGACAACGCATCCCTTCAAATAAATTATAATTTCCACTAAAATTTTGAAGTAATAAAAAAAGAACTGAACAACAGAGTACCGTTGAAATTTGAAACAATTTATAAATATTTAAAATTATTGGCTGGAGTGATTAACTTCAAACGTATATAGAACAGTTTCCAGTAATTCGTGATTCAATATATTTATACGAAAAGACCTTTCCAGTACAAAGATTTCCGAAAGGTATCGAGCGGAATATCAGCACCAATATTTGACTTCATGTGCATATACTCATCTATATCGTCAAGAAGTTTCTGTGGCAAAGCACCCAAAGAACGATTTGGATTCATCTTCTGCAAAACACTAGAAATAAAGAACGCAAGTTCCCTACTTTTTCCTGCTTAATTTTTTGACAAAAAAATATTTTAAAAAAGTTGCAAAAAATTACATCACGAAGAAAACGTATAAGAGTTGAATTATTTATACAACTGTGTTCTAATGATTTGTAAATATGGCGATAAAATTCATATTCAGTCTACCTAAAGATTTTGGAAAGAATCAAGTCGCAGTAAAATATTGGACTCATATCGGTGAAGCACAATATGTTTTTAAATCAGCACCTCATCAACAGCAGCTGGACAAGCTTTACCAGCCTTACTATGATACTCGTAACGCTCTTTATCAGTTAATTCAAACCACATCTTTTGAATTTTCTCTTTCGGTGTCCCTCGATACTCTTTGGAAAATTCTACATAACCACTCTTATATATTTTTTTGTTGTGTATGCCATATTTTCGACGCCATTTCTTGACCTTAGAAAAAACAAACTATGAATAAACTTTTAACATGATTTTCAAACATAATCAAGTTAAAACAGACCTAATCAAAACTTCATCTTCCGCAATAAGCTCGGTATCTCATACAAGGACACCATTTTCAGAGACATCTTAATAATATTATGCTAAAAACATTCTAACTTCTATTACAAATATCATCAAAAAAACTCTCTAGTATTCACAAATGAACACCGTATAACGAAAGAACATGAAGTGTGGCCTACATCCTAAATTGCACTGATCTACTAAAACATGGTAGAAAACTTCAAATCACTGTAAAAATTTTGTGTCACAAGATTGACAAAAAACCTACAACTGTCTTTCATTTTTTGTTGTCCAAACAACTTACCTTTTTATATGCTTTTTCACATTTTTTCAAGTCCCAATCATCTTCGTTATAACCTACTGGTAATACACGCGAACGTAATACTTGCATATTATCAGCCAGAAAATCAAACTGCTTAGAGTTCATGAATGTGCTTTTACATACATCCATCCCATCTTCTCCATACCGGAACTGTAACACATTATTTATAAGTCACTTAATGCAAAGCGATAGTCGAACAGCTGAAAACCTTGGGGTGTGCTCAATATACGACTAGAACAAAGTACCTGGATAACACTTCCATCATGGTCACGGACGGTAGAATCGTAGTGCGTCACCAAGCCTTCTAAATGCTTCACAATACAACGCTGCAGGTAACCAGACCGAGATGTCTTCACAGCCGTATCAATCAAACCCTTCATTTTTTAAGTTTAAAAAATTATATCTTGCGAATTAAATGAAAGGAGATATTTTGGCATACAAAAAATTCATGCCCTCATTAAATGTCGAATAGCATGATCCCTCTGAATAAATTTCTATGACTGAACGTTATTCATAATTTACGTGAGATGGTCAGGAAACAAATCAAAATAAAAGCTAGCAAACTTGTGATAAAATTTAGAAAAGAGACCTCTCGTCCAGCCATGGTATGGAAGAATAATTCCTGCGGATTAATGCCTGTCAAAAACCGTTGATCAACAAATCCACCAGCTCGCGGCGAAGTATCGAAAGAACGAAAAGATGGCAATGTACGCCCTGTGCTCGTCATCGGTGGTCGATGTCCTTCCAGTTCAATCTGGCCTAGTTCGCAGCTTATCTGTTAACTTATGTAGTTTTGCTTTTCATATAATGGTGATTAATTCTATTAAAGTTAGACAATAGTGTTGTAAAAGCAAAATTTTGACAGCGAAAACCATTGAAATTCCACGGAATTTCAAACATCTTTTTAAAACCTATTACCT